CTGCATTTTGTGACCCCAAACACATGAGAAGGACAGTGGCATGGAGCCTTATTGTTATATTGGTAACATGATTTGAGGTTCTACCTATGTTATCCAGAACAAGTCTAAATACCAGAGGTCTCTTCCTCAATAATACAATGTTGAAGGTTTCACCATTCTTTGAAAGCACATCCATCATAAGTGGTCTCCTAACTTGCTATTGCACTTGGGGCCAAATCAGCTGACAACAATTTTGATGGCTATCAACTTAGTAGTATAAGTCATAATTTTCTACCCTCAAACCATAGTCATTCTAATAATTAGGGAGAAAAGACACACGTGTTTGAAAAATTAAATAATATTACACTTAAATAAAAATTCAAGAGGGAAAAAAAAACATGACCTTAGCCAGTGGTGATAGATTGTCAGGAGAGTGCTTCAGGCAAGAGTCTAAGTTTGGAGGAAAGAAATGGGTGTGGATTCTGGGGCGGGGCAGTGCACACAATGGTCCAAGCTGTTGACAGTGGAGGACCAGCCCACAGGGCTTCCCTGTAGGGCCTCTGTTTTGTCTCTTAGATGTGGCTCTTTAAATGCTGTGATTCTTGTTTTTAATACGTCCCTATGGACTTGGGGAGAAGAGGCTTCTTCAGCCCTGCTCAGATGTATTTAAATCACTGGGTAGTTTGGTGGCAGATGGAAAAGGGTCACTTTCTGTTGTGTTCCCAAGGCTCATTGGGTTCCTTCAGCAAAGGAGCAGGATGTGTTGGTGGTGTTTGCCTCTGCCTCATTTGTCGTAAGGATTAAACAAAGTGATGAAATGTGGTGCCCGGCAGATGATGTAGACTTTGATAAATGTTAGTTGAATGCTCTCTGTAGAGACCTTCTCTGAAAATAATGTTGAATGTAAGTAACAGTTGAAGAGACAATTCAGGCAGGTTTGTAACCCGCATGTTTCCCCTGAGGCTGCTGGAGCCTCCAAAGAGTTCTCATGCTTTTGTGTTGGGGAGTGAATCATGGACGTGGGGTGGCTCGGGCCGGGCCGCAGGGACCCATGGGCTGAGGGCCCGAGGGGGCTGCCTGCCCTCTCTGCTTTCACTGGTGCAGGGAAATGGTGAACTGCATAGATCCTGGAGTCAGAAAGCCTGGGCTTGGATCTCCTTTATGTTCCCAATATCTCTGTTTTACAGAGGTGGGCAAAAGTAAGTTTATAGTTTGTATGGCAAATAATACAATAATTAAGGAAGATAATACAAGAAATGCCTGTTTTGTGTACTGACAACTGTAAACGTACTTTTGCCACCCATGTATTTTGCAAGTTACCATCCCATGCCTTATTTTTTCATGTAAATAGCTGGCAATGATACTTATTTTGTAAGACTGTATGTAGGTCAGCAGGAGATGATGCGTGTAGCAGTGCACACCACAGTGGCTGGAATGTAGTAAGTGCCCAATAAATGGTAACCATAACAATTTTTAATTGGACGTCTCATGAATGCCACACTCAGTGTAGGCTCTGTATTGAGGCTGTGGGTTACCAATGATAATTATAGTAATGGTGATTAGTAGTGAACATTAGTCCAGTGTTTACTTTGTGCCTGGCTTTATACATATTAACTCCTTAAGTCCTTTAACAATGAGCTAAATGGCATATACTCCCAGGAAACCAAGACTCATGATATCGAATCGGCTAGCTCTCCACTTCCCAATTGAAGAGGGGAAATAGGCTCACCAACAGACAGTTGTAGCATGGAATACCATGTGCTGGTAGTTTCTCAATACGTGATGGTTCCATTCCTTCTTTTTCCCTTTTCTCTGTGTCCCCAGGGTCATAGCACTGATATGACCTTGTGTGAAATGTTCCTATTCTTTCCCAACACTCTTTCCCCCTCATTTACACTGAGCTCAAACCTGCCCCAGATAGCTGAGTGGTAGGCAGAACAGAGGTTTGCTCCCCTGCCTGCCCATCATCCATTGTCATGTGGAGTTTATTAAATGCGTAACCGAGTTATTTGTGTGGCCAGTGTTCTTGTTTAATAGAAGACTTCCCATTTTGGAAAAGCCTGTTCTTTCCTGCCCCTTAAGCTTAGCAAACACCCTTTTCCTGCATTGACACTCAGGTAACTAACTAGTCACCATCACAGATGACTTAGGCTGGCATTAAGAAAGCACCTCCTCCTTCTTACATAATAGAGAAAGATAACTGAGAAGGTAAGCCCCTCATCGATCCTCAGTGAGTTCCAAATCCCAGAGTTCAATACACGTTAAAAGATAAGCCCCAGCCTGAAGCAGCATGGGTCAGAGGGAAGCCCTGATGCTTCAGAACACAGGACTGTAGGTCGTCTGGGCTCCACAGCTCCAAGGGGACCACTGAGTTTGTCCCTTGAATTTGATGCAGTGTGAAGGGATTACTTAGGAAATGAGAATGCGTGCCTGCCTTTGAATTGAGGTCACGTAATTTGTGGTTATTCTGCCGTTTGCCAAGGTAACCTCTTTCCATGAAAAATGTGCAGTATTATCTAGCCAGCCTTATTCAGGAATGCACTTATTCAGTACCAGATCGGGGGGGGGGGGGGTGGCGGAGCGGGGTTTGAGTTCATGCCCGATAAGAGGACCTGTAATTTGGGGTGAAAGCCAGGCATTGAGAATGACACTCAGGGACATTCCACTCTTAGGATGGGGTTGGACCTCATACACACAGACTTCCTCATACACATGGGCTGACATTCACACACTTCAGTGTGGAAGGAGCCCATATTCATCAAAATGCAGAAACATTTTATTTCTAAGGGGATGGCAACACCTTATATAATAGGTGTGGGGGGGGGCATGGTTTACATCTGACTTCACTCCTTTCTGAAATCTGAGGATGGCTGGAGGGTCAAGCTCACTTCCGGAACAGAGAATCACTTTGAGCTCCATGGTTCACCCTGCCTTGGGGAGCTTCATTCCTAACTGTTTTCACAGGGAGTGGAAGGGCACCTGGATGGGAGGTGTAAGGAAATCGAGTTGGGAGCTATCTTTCAAGCTCAGGTGGAGCCTCTGATGTTAGGAAGCTACCTAAGCAAGGCCTGTGGCTAGTTACTCTGTTAGACCCGCTGGGTTTATTCTGTGGTCATCTTTATGAGTGTCTGCATTTCCATGCAAGGAGGGCTACGATGACTCTGGTCAGATTGTCTTCTAGAATTTGACACATAGCTGCCAAGAGTCAGCATTCATGGGAATCCTGGCTACAAGAAATGCTTATAGCCCTGGCTGGTGTAGCTCAGTGGATTGAGTGAGGGCCTGCAAAGCAAAGTATCTCGGTTCCATTCCCAGTCAGGGCACATGCCTGGGTTGCAGGCCAGTTCCCAGCAGGGGACGCACGAGAGGCAACCACACATTGATATTTCTCTCCCTCTCTTCTTCCCTTCCCCTCTAAAGATAAATAAATAAAATTTTTTTTAAAAAAGAAGCAAAAAAAATGCTTATAAAATGAGAGATCTGGAGGCTGACAGGGTCCAAAACATTCTAGCAGGTATATTGAAAATATAAGGCCAGGTGACCTTCTGGCAAAAATGGGGGTACCCTGAGAGCTCTAGCTCTGGATGGCCACAGGTAACAGGAGGTGACACAGGTTAACTGTTAGGGATCAGAAGTAGCTGGATGTCCTGAGAACTCAGCCCTTTGGAACAGAATGTTGATGACTTTGGGATTACTGATAATTCTTAGTGCCCCAGTTCCCAGACTGAGACCTGAAGGTTGAGGGGGGTCAACAAGAAATCTCATTTTCCCCAGGCTCTGCCGAAGAGAAGCAGTTGTGGTTGGAGAACTAGATTAGACTGTCTTTGCTATTTGTACCTGTAAAGGTTGTTGTCAGGCGGCACTAGCTTAGGACGACCGAAAATGCGATGGTTCTTAGGAAACAAGTGCATAGGAGTGAGGGGGTGTTGCTGGGGAGTGGAGACAGGAGGTAGAAATTTATGATCTACATGTAAGAGCTAGTGCCTGGAATTTGAACAATTAAGGGACACCTCTGTGTGCCCCTATTAACGTGGCTAAAATTAGACTTTTGGTTTGCAGACCTCCTCACCCTAGCAAATCAAAACACAAAAAATTATTTCCTTTCCCAGGACTTCCCCATTTCATAATAGTGCCCCTGTCCGTTTGTGTGGAGTTCAGATTCTAGGAGTAATTTTTAAAAATTTTCTTCCCTTTCTTTCCCTCCACCCATTATACATATAACATATGTCCAAGTCCATCCATTATTTCTTTTCTGCTGCTACTTTGTGTGCCTTCATCAACTCCCACCTAGACTGCACCTGGACCTCCTTTGGTGGTCGCCTTTTGTCCGCTCTTGCTGCCCTGCGTACCTTCTACACAGAAGTCAGAGTAAAGGCAGCTTCTCCACTGGCCTCTGTTGATATCCTAAGGGAAGAGCTGGCCTTGGTTTTCAAAAGCCCTTGTCCATCCCTCGGATCTTAGCTTTTATTGCTTTTGCTGGCTATGATTGTGTCCGGTTGCTTTTTTCTACTCAGTCTTGCCCACACTAAGTCCTGCCTTAGGCCCAGAGCACTAGCAAATTCCCCTACCTAGAACACTCCTTTCTGCACTTCTCTACTCCCCCAACCCCAACCATGAGTCTGATAATCAGACTTCAACTCAAGCATCAGCTTCTCCTGACCTCAGTGTGAGCTAGCCACTCAGTCAGTCACTGTCACACTGCTCTGCTTTGTTTTTGGAGAGTAGTCATTACTTTTGACTACTCCACTTTGTTTGTTCATTGTTTGGTGGCTTGCCTGCCTCTCTCCCTGAGAATTTAAGCGTCATGAGAGCAAGGGCCTTATCTGTTTTGCTCACTACACCCACTGCCCAGAGCAGTGCTGACTCAGAGGGAGACGTTAAATATCTGTGGAATGAAGGACTGAGCCTGCTGTACTCAGTCCGTCACTGGAAAGTTCATTGATGACCTCTGGTAGTGGGGGCCTGCCTTCCTCCTCCACCATTTCCTGGGGTCTGATCACTGGTCTTCTGTTCCCTTGCAGCCGCCCATGCCAACTTCCTTTCCCATCAACAGTGCAGCAGCACAGCCCGATGTCCTCCCAGAACTCCTCCGTCAGTGGGCCCCTGCACTCCACTTCCTTGCCACTCCCACTTCCGGTGACCCTGGCAGCACCCCAGCCCCCGCCTGCTGCCTCCCCCAGCCAGCAGCTTGGTCCAGATGCGTTTGCGATTGTGGAGCGAGCCCAGCAGATGGTGGAGATACTGACAGAGGAGAACCGGGCGCTTCACCAGGAACTTCAGGGTTACTATGACAATGCTGACAAGCTCCACAAGGTATGTGACTTCCCGAGGGAAAGGGAGGGGGCAGGTTCTCTAAAAGGGACAAGTCTTTAACTGCTCATGGGAGTTTGCTTCACTGATGCCCTCGTTAACTAGATCCCTTTTGATGCCAGGTACTGTGCAAGGCTCTAAGGAGACAAAATAAATTTGACATGGTGCCTGCCTTGGAGAAGCTTACAGTCCAAAAGGGGAGAGTTGCCTGAGCTAACTGATACCTGCAATAGAAAGTCAGGGGCTACAGTAGGTACAGCGGAGGTGGCCCTGGACCCAAGACTCAGAGGCTAAGTAGCATTTTCCCAGGTGGACAGTGTGGAATAGGGAACTCCGAGAGCAACTCAGGGCAGTGAGTGGAGAGAGACAAGTTTTCCTTTAAATCTGGGAATCTCAGACAGCAGCCTTGGGACTACCATGCTAGTTTCATTAGGGGGTCTCTGCAAAAGCAGCCTTGCCTCAACACCAAGGATAGAGTATGAGTTATTATGCACTCAACACTTGTGACTTGTCAGGTGGGAAGTTGCTGTGTAAATCCAGCCTGTGTAGTTACCGTGGGAACTTTAGAATGTATGGCAGCCTTCATCCTTCCGGCTTTACGCTGAGAGCCAAAGTCAATGGGAAAGCATCCACAAAGAGTGAACTATTGTGGAGAGTGGTTTCATGATGACCCAGATGTCTGCACCTGAAGCGCTGCAGGTAGATGAGGTGAGGGGGCAATGGTAATAGGTGTTTTAAGGCAGCAGAGCCACAGGGCCCTCAAGTTTCCTTTCTGCAGCCAAGGAGGCTTATGTGATGGAAGGCATCTTACAAGAGTCTATCTAAGTACCTAGCTCTCTGTTCTGGACAATCAGGGGCTTTTGTAAAGAGAAAGAGTAGGAGCACAGACACTGCCTGACTACAGGAGCATTGTCATTTGGCTCTACGTGACAGTTAATGCTCCTGATTGATGGTCATTTAGTGTTCTCTATTTAGTACTGATCTCTCACGAAGAGCCTGCTCTTTTTGCTGGTCAGGGTTTCAGAACGGTCAGCGCCTCTGATTTTTTGTGGGCCGGCAGTGAACAGCTGAGAACAGCGGGTTTGGTGATACAAATGTGCACAGACAGTATCTGCCCCGGCACGTTTGTGCGGAGCTGCCACTGAAATGGTCTGGAGCTCCCTGGAGTCAAGACCAGGCTTGGCTCAGAGAGCTTTGGCTGCCTCTATTGGAGGGGAAAAATGAGAGCCAGAGACAAATGGCCTGCCTAAATATTGCTGCCTCACCGCCACCCCAGCCACACCCTTAGAAGGCGGGAAACAAACCTGCTGTCTCCTGGCCTTGGCTCTCAGACACTGCCCAGGCCCAAGCTTGCCTCTGACACTTCCCTGGGCAGCCTCTTTCCAGGTATGGTCTAAAAATTGGAAAGGGCCAACTCAGCCCTTCTGGAAAATAAGCAGTTCTTTCTTCTTGCTAGTGGAGCTCTGGCAGGCATCTCCAGGAGTTATGCAGACCCACCTGAGGGCAGAGTTTTGAACAGTTACATGGAGTATGCAGAAATTGGGAGGTTTTATTATTCTTTGTTGACTTATTTATTAATATATACTTTATTGACCTGTAACATATATATCTTTCTTGATTTTGATGCACATTTCTATTTTGAAAAACAAAAATTCATCTCCCAGTGACTCAGTTTCTCTGCACAGAGGATGATTCTTAAACTTTGTGGCCAAAAGGATTTTGATGACTTCTGAAAAGGGAGAAAAATCAAAAGCTGTTTGCCTTCTGAAAACCGAAACTCCTTCAATACCTTGAATATCATATTTCATTTCATTGCTCTGTCATATATCACACTGGAATTTTCCATTTAAAAACTCAGATGTTGACACATACTGGCCATACTCATCCCTGGTTCCATAGCTGTTCTCAACAGTTCAGACCACGAGACAGAGGAGCTGCATGAACTCTGTGACTTAGCATTTCATGGCTTGTGTTCCTGAGGTTGTCCTCGGCCCAGGTCCCCCTCAGTGTCAGCCTCACCACTCAGTTGCCTCTCAGCAGCTGCTTAAGCCTGAGATTCAGGGAGAGGACTGTTGGATGAGGTGACAGCTTCACTTCGCAGTGATGGGGACCCCCACACTGGGTGAAGCCGCTGTATTGCGTCATAAAATGGTGCCCTGTGCCAGCAATAACATCTGGTCCAGGATCCTCACGCCGTGAGGCACTTGGAGAAATTCGTTGTAAGGACAGAACCAAAAATAGAAGAATGTTTAATTGCAGGGCCTAGTCTCTGCACACCGTGCCAGGAACAGAGCAGGAAAGAAGGACAGGACTCGGAGACTGCCGCAGCACAGCCCCCCGTGGGAAGACCCTGTTCCTGTGGGAGGAGGAACGTGGTTCGAGGACCCTCTGAAAGGGTTGTTTTTCAGCATTTCCTTTTGGTCACTCATTTGCTTCTTTTTCTTCCTAGTTTCTCTGAAACATAATTGATGGATGGAACTTCCAGCAGGACCAGACTGTGGGCTACTGAGTGGGTTGGCTCAGAAGACATCAGGGTGTAGGCAGACATTTGAAGAGAAAGGGCTTGAAGGCATTTGGAGGCTGGCATCAGTGGAGACCCTCCTTTGTCAGCACAGCAATGGCACCTCTGATTGGGCAGTCCATGACTGGGACAGCAGGCCTGTGTTTGCTCCTGTGGCTCCCTGAGCTGTGCATAGGAAGGTGCTCAGGGAAGGAACTTGGAGTGGCTGAGATTTTTCAGGGCCATTCTCTGCCTATTTGCTTCATGGTGGCAGAGCTTTCAACTCTGCACATAGTGCTGTGTCTGGGACAGCAAGTGCTTCAGAAGATCACACTCAGACTCTGTACTGGCCCAGTTGGTTTTTATATCAACGCCAGTCTGTCCAACCTTCTCTTCATCTTAACAACGTCAGAGAGGACTTAAGATGCTTTAGACATGAGGGATTTGAAGAAGAGGTTGTGGTTCTCTCTCAGAAGGACTGTGCAATTAGAAATCATAGAGCTTTGGACGTAAAATTTTTTAAATTATTCTAGTTCAGTTTCCCACCCTTTAGGAGTCCTTGCTTCAGGTCCCTGAAAGGTCATTCGTTTTTTACTTGAATAGTGCACTTCTGGAAAATGTAGTTAGGAAATGCCTATGTTGAATCAAAATCTGCATCTTTTTAACTTCATGCACTTAGTCATCATTCTGTCATCTATAACCACAGTAAAGGAGACTAGTCTGTCTCCTTTGTGACAGCTATCATTTCTCACAGGAAATACCTTATCCTGAACTAAGATTATTGCCCTTTCTGTCTCGATTAGTACAAGCGCATAACCTTATTCAATTTCTTGATTGTTTAGTATTTGAGATTGTAAACTATGCTGCGAGAGGGATCCTGTAATTTCTTTTTCTGGTGTGCAGAGAGAAGTTACTTTTTTGCATTATTCATTTATTGATTTGAGGAGAGAGAGAGAAACATCTATTTGTTATTCCACTTGTTTATGCTTCATTGGTTGATTTTTGTGTGTGCCCTGACCCAGGATTGAACCTGCAACCTTGATGTATTGGGATGATGCTCTAACCAACTGAGCTGCCTGGCCAGGGTGGAAGTTCTTTTAATGAAAGGAAAGAATTCAAGACCGCTTTTAGGAGTTATACATTTAACAGTTAATTAATCAATCAGTATTTTTGTCACTGGCAGGGCACACACTTCTAGGGCCATGAGGACTATTTCTGCTTTTAAGGAACTGACATTCAAATCAGACACACAAAATGCACACGCACATCTGAATTCCAGTCAGGTGTGCCGATGAGCCCCCAGTGAAACCAGATGGAGGAAAGTTTCTGGGTGGTGGAGTTGAGGAAGGCCTCCTAGTTGTCCTGGGCTTGAAGCACGAGCATTTCACCACCACACCCCTTATCATGGGCACCGTGCAAGCGTGTGTGCCTGGGTGCAGGCCAGCTCCGGACACCGAGTTCCTGAAGACCAGAGTTGTCTTACTTATCCTGTATCCTTGGCACCCAGATGCATAGTAAGTGTCCAATAGATACCTGTTAGGATATATTTTATTTATAGGAATCTCAGCAAGGACTTTCTGCTCTGGGCAATTGGGGTACCTGGCTCATGGTGACATAAGTCCCCTGCAGAGACCAAAAACATGGTGCAGGTCTCTTGATGCCCAGTGAGCAGAGCTAGTGCTCTCAACCCTGCCTGCTTTGCCTCTGATCCTGACTTTTTTTAGCAGTTCATCAGGTCACATGTTTGCAGGCACTCTTCATCCTTCCTCCTGCGCTTGTTACACAACTGGAAATGGGATTTATTGATTGCTACTTTCAAAAGACACTGTTAGGTTAGAGTCCTGTTATCACAGTTACAGTTACTTATTACAGGTTTATATATGCCAGAGACTAAATGCTCTCCCAGTTACATCTCTTGATACAGTGAAATACAGAAGGAGAACAACAAAAAATGGTTTTAATCCCATATTTTTCAACTCCTCCCTTCAAAGAGTTTTCTTTGGTATATTTGTTTATAATTAGATACACGTCCATTAGTCCTGTATATAGATAGTTCTGTTAAAAGGGGGGTTAGAATGCTAAGTAAAGAAGCATCTCCTCAAGTGGGTTTTATGTTCCTTTGGGGATGGGTATCCGGATGGTCTCTGGAAGAGCACTGTACCTGGAATCTGGAAATTTGGGTCCAGTTGAGTTGTGGTCCTTCAGTTATTCTGTATTTTAATATTTTCCCTTCTGTTAACCAGGAATAATAATAATAATAGTTATAAACTGCCATGCAAAATATAAGAGGCTTAAGTTATGTTTATATTCACCCCTTTCTTATATTGGTACAGAGGGATTTTTCCAAGGTGACATCGGATGGTCCAGCCAGACTTGGGAGTCTGCTATTTACAGGATCCTAATGTAGCCCCTAGAGGAGAGACGGGATTGAGGGTGAAATCACTTACACCAGCGGTTTTCAACCTTTTTCATCTCATGGTGCACACAAACTAATTCTGCAGCACACCAAAAAATATATTTTTGTCCATCTGACCAAAAAATAGGTATAATTTTGATTGATTTGCAAACATAATAATAGTAGTAATTGCCTACCCTTTTTGTTCCAAAGTAACTTTTTAATAAAACAAGTACTTATACTTGTATATAAGAATTTCTGGTACCAAAAATTAACCAATCAGATGCAACCTTATTATGCAACATGACCAATGAAATGCAACTCTATTATATGATCTATATGTTTATGGTTCAAGACAGGGCATTCAGGGCATTCAACCAGTTGGCTATTGTGTTGGCTCTTGTCATGTTTTTATTTGACAATCTAAGGGAGAAGAGCTCAGTGCCCCTGACTAAATCGTCAGGAATTGCATGTTTTAAAAATCCTTGCGGTGCTCCAATGTGCCTCTTGGGGCACCCTGGTTGAAAACCACTGGATTACGCAGTTTGGGTAGACATGAAACTGGAGGTGCAGAAAAGGCTGCATTGAAGGTACAGCCTTCACACTTGGAATGTCAAAGAGTTAGTGTAACTATAAGGCACCGGTATGAATGTCAGAGTCCCACTTTCATGCCACTTCTTTCTTCTAGTTTGAAAAAGAACTTCAGAGAATTTCAGAAGCCTATGAGAGTCTGGTCAAGTCTACCACTAAGCGAGAGTCACTGGACAAGGCGATGAGAAACAAACTGGAGGGCGAGATTCGAAGACTTCATGATTTCAACAGAGACCTCCGAGGCACGTCATGTTCCATTCATATTCTCTCTACCCCAAACCTCCTGTGTAGCCAACAGCCTGACTTCGGGTCTGAGTTGTGTTAAATAATCTTGTAAATTCCAACCACCTGGGGGAAGGGCTCTCAAAGAGCAGAATTTATTTTTCTGTCTTGTAGGTCGTAGGTTGCAGCACTGAGCCTGAGAAGTGACAACCTGTGTGGGAAGTGAGGGAGTTTGTGTGCAGTGTTTTGTCCTGTGTGAAAAAATGTTAACAGTGACTCGTGACTGTGCAAATGGGAACATTTAAAAAGACAAGTGTTAGATGCACAGCTCTTCCCACATCAGGCTGTCACTTGGTATCATGCTTTGAAAGCCAGCACTTTATACTTGCTTGGTACAGTGCAGAAGACAGAGCTAGACATGTGTACCTCATAGGGAAAAATAAAGGCCCACAGTTATGAGTGTGTGTACACACACACTCACCCATATATACTCCCTGAAAGCTGGGAGCCACCTGCCACAGGGTCTTAGCAACCTCCCACAGACAGAATGGTTTGAGCCGTAAAATTTAACTTCACTTTTAGTCAGCCAAGCCTTTTTTCAGTTGCCTTATATGCCAGAATACTGAGTGTATTGGTTGTCTCTAGTAGCTAGACCCCGCTTTTTCTACTGCTGCAAACCTTTTTATCTTGCATATCATATACAGTCAATGAAAACTTGTTAAGCTGAATTATTTAATTGAATAAATGAAGATTTATTTACCAATTGGTTTGAGCAAAACTAATGAGAGTCTTCATTAGGTCATTTTGACCTTTTTTGGTATCTATTTAATTATTTTTATTTATTTATTTATTTATTTTTGTTTCATGATAGAGGTAGCAGTCGTGGGCTAAAACAGAGGACTCGTGGTCAAGGTTAGGCCTGGGCTGGGTTTGAGGTCAAGGAAAGTCAACCCCTTTGCAAGGACTTCCAGTCAGAGCTTTGCTCATCAGCAGCAAAGCGGTTTTTCTCAGAATCTGCTCGTGGCCACCTTCTGCTGGTGCATGCCTTGGCATTCCATTGCATAAAAGCACAGTGTGGCACCTGAAGACTTTTTCTGACAGTTGGGATGTATTGTTTCTCCCTAAAAGTTGTTCAGTTTGAGGCTCCAGTCTGAGGATCTGTCTTTTTTTTTTTTTTAAGATTTATTGATTGATTGATTGATTGATTGATTTATAAAGAGGGAAAGGGAGGGAGAAAGAGAGGGAAAAAAACATCAATGTGTGGTTGCCCCTCACATGTCCCCCACTGGGTACCTGGCCCACAACCCAGGCATGTGCCCTGACTGGGAATTGAACTCTGGTTTGCAGGCCTGCACTCAGTCCACTGAGCCGCACCAGCCAGGGCTGTCTGAGCATCTGTTCATACCAGCTCTTGGCTCCATGTCATTTCTCAGTGGACAATGACTTAGGTCCTCATGCATTTCTCCCTAACAATTTTCTCTTTATGCGCAGACCGCCTGGAGACTGCCCACAGGCAGCTGTCCAGCAGGGAGTATGACGGGCACGAGGACAGAGCTGTGGAGGGCCTCTATGCTTCCCAGAGTGAGTCTCCACGCTTATCCCTCCTGAAGCGGTATTTATGAAAACTGGAGCCTGGGAAAAGAATCATGTTCATTTTAAGGAGGGTTTATGCTGTGTGCTTTTTGTTTTCTAATTTAGTATGTAAACTGTTGGGCCTCCTAGGTCTGCCAGACAGAGCTGAGGTTGTTAGGTATGAGTTCAGGAATGTTTATTCTGACCTTCCAACCTGGGCCACCTACAGGATCACATCATGTAATCTCCACATGTGATGCTTGCTTCCAAAGACCAATGAGCCTATTTCTGCACAGAATAAATTGAACTGTGGCTTCCTGTGCCTCCAGATTTATTGGGAGGATAGTGTATTAATTTCACCAAAGGCAACTGATAGAATCGAGTGGGTTCTGAGAAACCATCGACCAGGGTTAGAATTTCTGCAAAGTCATTGTACAAGTCAAAAATATAAAAAATACAAGTTTCTCTTTTTAAAGCTGTTTAGAAAATTGAATTCATTTCTCTGTCATAAATCTCAAGAGCATTGCTAAATAAGTGTTTACAAACTAGAGACAATTCAAACAATAAAAGTCACTTATTCAGACACTGGCCATCCATTGTATAACTGGTATTCCGATGCTGGGGCCCTGCAGCACAGCCCTGCATTTTCAAGGCTGGGAATTAATTGGTTAAATTTTCAAATTCCCAGTACTGTTTGGCTGGGTTAAGGGCCTTTGTTTCCTTCCCCCAAATTTACTCATGATTGCACTCCAGTTTTTAGTCTCAGCTTCATTTTTAAAAATCTATTTTGGCAAATGGACACTCATAATGTCTAGGGCTTTTGCATCAGATCCTTTGTAGTCTTGCACTAGGTAAATTGGCTTGAGCTCTAGATTCACATAAAAAGCTACCTGAGCATCTTGAATTATTTCCTTTCTTAACAGAACTTATCTCTTCCTAAGGGTGTGGGAGATTGACCATCTCTTCTGAGCTTTCCTTTGAAAAATGAGTCACTTGTACTATCTGCATATAGTACCTTCCTTTGGGGTGATCAAATGCCTAGGCAGACTCAATGTCTGTGGCAGTTTTGCCAGCAATGTCACTCTGCTGATGCACTGCCTTTTTGTCAGGGAACATTATTCTGTTGCTTAGTTCAGGTCCAAATGGGAAAGCCAGTTAGTTTCATCTGAGGGGCATTTGCTCTAGCCCCCTAGCCCAGGCTGTGCTGATGGAATGATAGGGTTTGTGTTGTATGAGTTCAGAAATGTTCCTGAAGATTTTAACCTTCTGGCTCAAAGCTAAAACATTAATAATGCAGGCAAAGCTGCCCATCCAGCTTTATAGTCAGTGTTTGTTCTGAGCAGACACACTCCATTGTGTTCCAAAGGCATAAATGAGAGAGTGCAAAGGCACTTTTCAACCACTTCAGGTATCTCAGTGCGGGCATGTGCTGTAATTGAATCTAGACAGGGCATTTGAAGCAGGCTTGCAAACAGTGATACCTAGCCGGTTTTTCAGCACCTGGTCTTCAGGACGTTTTGTGCCATCGCCATGCTTTGTAATTGTTTGCATTAGCTTTTCCTCTCCTGGTGTGCCCAAGAGATGAACTGAAGATGCTATTTTAAATTTACAGGTAGGTTTTTTTCTTAATGAGTTGTAAGGATGAGCACACCACATGCCATATATGTTACAGATATTTCCCCCAGTTTTTTTTTTACCTTTGATCATGGTGTCCTTTATTTTACAGAACATTTTTTAGTAACTATATTTATGCCTTCTAGGTTTTATGGCATGCTTAGAAATGCTTTTTCCCACTTCAAAATTATAAAAATATTCACCTCTGTTTTTTTCAAATACTCTTATGATTTCATTGTTTGCAAGACTTATATTTTAGAAGCTAGTTAGGGAGGAAGAATAGAAGAGAAATTCATTAGGAATTAACCTGGAGGCAAGCAGACTTGTTAACAGATATTTTAGTACCTGGGTAAGAAAGATGGAAGTCTCAATCTAAGACAGAAGTCGTAACAGAGAGAAGGGGAAGATAAGCCAGTACCAACTGAATGAGGGCAGCAAAAGAGACAGAAAGGAGTGGGACAACAATAACTAGGTGGGTGGTCAGTCTTCCAATCAAAAGCAGATGGCACAGGTTGGGATTAGATAATGAGTTCAAGTTTGAACATGTCGAGGTATCTCATACTTTGGCCCGTAGGTAAGCGAGCAGGTGTGATAACCATAGGTGCCCCCGTGCCTGCGGGCTGGTGATGGGCCATGCTCTCTGCCAGGCTTTCACTTTAGCATGTGGGTCTGGAATGGCAGGTGTGAGTTACTACCTCTCTTCATAGTTATATTAATGTGTTCTATTATCTGTATATTCTTTTGAAACTCTATTATAAGAACACTTTTCAAATGCCTAGAAATCATAATTATAAACATTGCACACTCAAGAGGAGCCATCCTTTTTAAGTGAGTCTTTGAGATTCTAGCATTTAGCTAAGAGAAGGGCGAGACTGCCAAGCAGAGAATGGTGATTTCTCTGGATAATGCATACCAAGGAGCTAAGGCTCACCTGAGAAGCCTCTGGCAACCCCCATGGCCAGTGGGGAAATTAGAAGGAAGCTGAACGTAGAGAATAACCCCATTGGCTTTTTTGCTAGGTGTTCATGGTGAAGCTAGGAATTCAGGTTCAAGAACACCCAAGGCGCTCTGGCAGTGTGAGCTGTCAGTAGGACTTGAGTAACACTCTCTTAGTTAATGGAAGGGGAAGGTCCTTCCTGGCCTCATTTCTAAATTTCCTTGCTGTCCAGGGTAGTTTTCCTTTCAAGACTGAACTCTGTTCTTTCGCTGGGGCTTGATGAAGGCCCTGATGGATTGCCGGGGCACATACCACTTAGCTTACAGGGAAAGGTGAGCCTTAAACGGGGTGGTCCTCGGGCTCCTCTCAGTCATGTTAAACTTGCTGAATTAAGTGCTTAGACTTTGGTGACTGTGACGAATTGTTTTCTCTATCACGTCATGGTGTCGCAGTATTCTCATTGGAGGAATTCAGAGTTTTATGTGTTTGTTTTCTGGCTGTACTATTTTGTTTTTTAAAATATTTTTGCAGCCAAATTGTTCCTGAAAAACAGGATATCCTGTGTGGTCTGGCTGTGTGCAACTAGGGCTTCTTTGTCCTTTAACTTCTTCAACTTACTGAGATTTCTGGTTTTGCTATTCATTTCTTTGTCTCGCACACACACTCATGCACGCACACAGACATGTGCACACACACAATAGAGTTAGGCTACTGTCCAGTAAAGACAGAGCCCTGGGAATGTCTGTCATCTTCTCAGTAAGTGAAACTTTGTAATAGTTTCTTTCTGAAAACTGATAAGTACACAGACTTTCCATCATCATGAGGCCAGAAAGCCAAAAATAAAATATTAGATGTGAGGAAGCTAGATGGGTAGAGGTGATCTTATTACATTCTTGGGTTGAGTGGGAGCTGATTGGCTCTGGCATGCATGTGTTATTCCAGCACACAACCAGGCTGTGTTCAAGGACGCCGAAGAACTTAGCGCCACCCCTCTGGGGTTCTTTAGGACACCTGGGTTCAGCACATTTGGTTAAACCTAATTCTCAGTGAGTTAGATACGAACTGTTAGATGGTATCTCTCTCTAAGAAAACATTTTTTGAGCATTCAGTTATTCATTTAAATTAAATAGTAATGGGTATAAATGAGCCAGGACTCATATATACTTTTGATTTTGCTCTTAATTTCCATGGGTTTAAAAGTTTTAAAAAATATGTGGGATCACCAGTTTTATATATTGTTTTAAACATAATAGTAAGTTACTGTTTCAGTGTGTCTTGAAATCATCTTACCCTTGAATCTTATTTTAAGTGCTTTGATTTTTTGTCTCGTATAGAATGTAAAAGAGACTAAAATAATTTTCTGAAAGAAAATCCCTCTGGCTTTTGTATTTCCATAAGGGCTCATGTGAAACACAAAGCAGGAATTACAATGACATGAACATTAATTCCGTTGACGCTTACAGAGCATTAAGGAGGTTGTTTTGAATTCTTGTTGCGTTTCACTACATCAAGCTGTGGGGCTCTGCAGGCTTCGTTAGGAAGGGCAGGTTAGGTGTTGTCACACATGAGTGCACTGGGTTTCCTCCCCTGGGTGCTTGCAGCTCCTCCTGACTCAGCGCAAAGCTCCTACTCTGTGCATTCTGTAGGGGCACCATTTAGCTGCATGGATCTCCTCCACTAGAGAGGAGACCTACAGGCATTCTTTACTGTCATCCATCACCAGTCCTTACTAAAACACCTTACATCTTTATGTACTCAATAGCTAGCACTCAATAACTATCCAGGCGATGGGTAAATGTGGAAAGTCCTTGTGACAATAGGCTTGAAAATTTCCTTGTGCAGCATCAGTATAAAATGTTCTTTTTAGCTCATTGTTTCCTAGTCATATTGGGAGATGCCCCTGGTTAATTTCTGTTATTTCCAGGCATTGAGCAAAACTATTTTTTGAAAACTGGCATTAGACTAGAAGCAAATTAATAATGCTTGAGTTCTTTTTTTGTCTTCCTTCTTCCTGCCTTTTTTTTTTAAATAGAGGATATCCAGGAAAGGAGAAGGGGAATCTTTCAATGTTAGGAACAGTGGTATTTTAAATGAAAATTAGTTTAATATAGTTGATTTATGACTCCCTTGATTCCTTGTCTTTTACTCTGATGGAGATACGTTGGAAGTGGCAGTTGCCGTGCTAGGTAAAGGTTTTATAGCAGCCGGCCAGAGCTTGCCCCGACCAAGCTGTAGGCTGTGCCAGGCGTCGCAGACCTGCCTGGGCAGAGGGGAAGGAATTGTCCATGAGGCCTGGCAAGGTGGCATCATTTCAGTTAACAAAATTTTCTTGCTCTAAATTTTTAACTGATTTTCCTTAAACATGACCGCTATACTTAGTAGGACTGTGAAGCTCTAAAAAATGAAAAGTTCTGTAGGCACAGCCTCAAGCAAACAATTTTGGATCAGTCCCTGCGTC